CACCTCCAAGTTTGCCCTGATGCAAAAAGCCCAGAATATGGTCCTGCGTTGACAGTTCAACTCTGCCTAAGGTTGGAAAGATCAAGAACTGTCTCGAGCAAAACGCTTGTCCCCAGCAGCACGTCCCGCGGTGCGTCCCCATGGCACGTCTCCTGGCACGTCGCTTGGCGTGTCCTTTGGGGCGTTCCGCGGCGCGTCCTCCTGGCAGGCCACCCTGTCAATTCGTTGTGGGGCAGCTACTATGTGCTCAGACAGCTCGGGCTTCAGATCCAGAGCAGTTAGGTCAGGACTCGGATGCAAAGGAGGACTCGATCCACAACGCTATAAAGCACACTCGCGGCATGGCGCATCGCAATCCAGCACGGCGCGGCACAGCACAGCCCTCGGCACGGTACATCAATATCGATACAGTCCGCATTGCAATTTGGCACGTTCCTTGGCACGTTCCGCGGCGTGTCCCGTGGTGAGTCCCCTTGGCACGTCGCGCGGCGCGTCCCCTGGCACGTCACGTGGCACGTCCATTGGCACGCTCCGTAGCGCGTCCCCTGGGCACGTCCCGCGGCGCGTCCTCCTGGCATGTCCCCGTGTCAATTAGCTCTGGAGCAGCTACTATGTGCTCAGGCACCTCGGGCTTAATATCCAAAGCAGTTAGGTCAGGACTCTCAAAAGAGGACTCGATCCACAACGCTATAGAGCACACTCGCGGCATGGCACATCGCAGTTCAACACGGCATAGTACAGCACAGCCTTGGGCCCAAAATCGATACACACAGCATTGCCGCTCAATCAGGTGCCGTGAACACGCTGCCATACCTCACATTTCCATATCCGTGTCCGGGTTTGTGGGTCGTTTACCCGCGGCCTTGATTTGCGTAGGGCCAACGAACTTACTTTGCCATGCATACCGAGGTCGCGCAGGACAGGCGAAATATGAGGTTGAATATGTCTCTAGCGAAACATTTGTTTCATACAGTGGCGAAGACGTTTCAGGCGAAACGCTCGTTTTGCAGAGTTGTGGGATGTCTCCAGCGGGGGCCAGAATTCTGCGAATGTTTCAAGCGAGATATTGTTTTCACATGCCCAGGTCGCCCGGATGGGGTATCTAACGTGGTTGTCTTTTTTTTCAGACGGAGCCACGCCGTTTCACGTGTCCAGGCCACCCAGGGGGGATCTACGATGGCTGCCAGTTGCCCCTCGCTGGAGCCATATGTGTTCGCATGCGTAGGCCACCCAGGGTGGAATCTAAAATGGAGGCACCTCGCTGGAAACATGTGTTTTTACGTGTCCAGGCCACCCAGTGGGGTATCTAACATGGTTGCCACGAGTTGAAACCATGTGTTTTCACATTTGATCTGCTTCGGGGCGAAAGGGACCCACGTGTTTTCGCGCTTGTTCCGCTGTGGGGCGAAAGGGACCCACGTGTTGTCACGCTCGTCCCACTATGGCGCGACAAGGACCCTCGTGTGTTCATACTTGTTTCGCCAAGGCGCGAGCCCGACCCGCGTGACGCTTGGTCCGCTCAGGGGCGAAAGGGACCCGCATGTTTTCACGCTTGTTCCGTTCTGGCGCAAACGTGACCCACGTGTTTTCACGCGTCTTCCGCTCTGGCGCGAAAGGGACCACGTGTTTTCACGCTGTTCCGCTTTGGCGCGAAAGGGGGGGATTTCTAACATGTGGTCGTCTGGCCCTCAAGAGTGGGGGGGGACTTAGAAGGAGCCAGAAAAGTTATCTAATCGACACCATATGTATAATAACTTGACACGTTCCGTCCTGGAGCCCTTGGGAGACCTCCTGCAGCCTCCTGGGGAGGCCTCCTGCGGCGAAAGGGACTAACGCTTTTTCCTGGAAAGGACTCGGGCCCAGGGTTCTCTTTTAGATGTGCACCCCACGAATTGATTTGAAGCGGGCCGGCGGAATTATTTGTTACAAAGTACAAGGTGAAGTTCCCTTCGGCGTGGAACAAGTGCTTTTCGCTCGTGCCCGGTCGAGGAAAATGCGCGGCCCCCCATGTCGGATTTTCGATGAATAACCAGGTCCGCTGGCTTGTGTTCTCCCTTATGAGCAAAATTGTATGCGGAGCGTTTTGCGCAGAATCTTTAATAAATACTGAAGTTCAGAGACCCTACAACTTAACAACAAATCTGGACAAGTTCACTTGTTGCGTGCCCACTCGAGGATGGCGAGTCCTGTGCGCAGGAATTTTGAGGATGTCTCGGGCCACACTCTTGTTTTGCAGAAGGAAGTTTGGATTTTTGCGTGCCCGCTCGAGGATGGCGCACCCTGAGTGCCAAATCTCTGAGGACGTCTCGGGCGAAACGCTTGTTTTTCAGCGCTGGAAAGGTCTGGCGCCCCAGGATGCCCAGGTGGTTCTGAGAGCGCGGTCGGACTGCTCTTTGCGAGGGATCGTGGCCCTGGGAGCGCGGATGCCGCGTAATTTACAAAGGATCTTGGCCCTGGGAGCGCGGACGTTTTGAAATTGACGAGGGATCTTGGCCTTGGAGGCGCGAACCCAGTGCAATTTACGAGGGATCGTGGCCCTGGGAGCGCGGACGCAGTATAATTTACGAAGGATCTTGGCCCTGGGAGCGCAGACGCAGCGTAAAGTTGGGAGAGATCATGGCCCTGAGAGCGCGAACCCAGTTTAGTTTACGAGGCATCGTGGCCCTCGGAGCGAGAATCCAGAGTAATTTACGAGGGATCGTGGCCCTGGATGCGCGAATCCGTGGCAATTCGCGAGGGCTCGCGGGCTTGGGAGCGCGAGTTTAGTGTAGGTTACAAGGGGCCGTTGCCTTGAGAGCGCGAAGCCAATGTAATGAAGGAGGGATCGCGGCCTTGGGCGCGCGGACGCAGCGCACTTTACGAGGGTACACGTTGTACATCTCAAAAGCGCCCTGGGCGTTGTTCTAGCGTTTTCTAGTTTGGGATCTTGACAGGCTGAACACGCTAAACAAACGCTACGTGTTTTTGGTGTTTTTAGGGTTGCTTTGGGGGCGTTTTCAGGTTCGTCGCTGTGGTACAACGTCTTGTTGCGCTTTTTTGCATTATCGTCGAAGCCTCCTCCTTGTCGTCTTTGCCAGCTTGACTCCTGCGTTCGCCCTTTCTGCCCCCTCTTCCCTCTCCCATGTTGACGCACCTGCCTTGATACATGAGCTGCGTACACGGAGGGGGGGGGGCAACACTGGTTCCCGCGCGGAGACCTAAACACGCAAACAGCAACAAAAATTGCTCTGACACAGGTCTAACACAAGAAGGGGGGTGGCAGCAGGGGAGGGCGGGCTTCTGCGACGAGTCACCAGCGACGGCTACAAAAAAGCAAACTTGTAGAAAGAAGACGATAGGGATACGCAAGGAGAAGGAAACATGCAATCCACTGATCTGAAAACGCTAAAGAATGGTCTGGAAACGCTAAACGACGCATCATTGTTGTTAGCGTTTTCGTTTTTTTGGTGTGAGACCTGACAACGGTCAAAACATGATTTCCAAGACGCCGAGCTGAAAATGCTGAAAAACACCAGGGCATATTTAAGATGAACTAAGTAGAAAAGGGACAAACTTGAAAACACATGGTTCATAACGCCCCAGAGCGGGACAATTGTGAAACCGATTGGGTTATTAATGCTCCAGAGCGGGACAAGCGTGAAATTACATGGGTTCCTGACGCCCCAGAGTTGGACAAGCGTGAAAAAAATCCCAGGTTCCTGACGCCCCAGAGCGGGACAAACGTGACAACACGTGGGTTCCTAACGCACCAGAGCGGGACAAGCGTGAAAACACGTAGGCCCCTAACGCCGCAGAGCGGGACAAGCGTGACAGCACTTGGGTTCCTAACGTCCCATAGCGAGGCAAGCGTGAAAACACGTGTGTTCGTAGTTCCCAAGGTTGCGTGGGTTCACATGGCCTCCCGTCTGCGCGTTCGTCGTCGTCTGATTGCTTCTCGTTCCCTGTCTCGTTTTCCGTTGCAGCGAAGCACAGACTGCCGGGAGCAGGTTGTGCTGGCGCGATCTCATTTGGGAGCGTGGTGCCTTCTACAGCGCGGCTGCGATACGAGAGCGCTGGTCTGTGCAACGGCCGCTGGCTTCGGGCGTTGCAGCATTGTTCGCAGCGTGAAGGGTCGTACTCTGCGCAGTGGTTGCCAGAAGTGGCTAGGGATCGTGTGGTGCACCTTCACCACCCACCAGCACAGACCAGGGGCGGCAGACTTGCTGTAGTTCTCTTTGCGGGGCGTGCTCGGCGCCTCGAGCAGCCAAGCGCTGCCACAGGTCGGCTGGCCTGCAGCGGTGGCCCTGACAGGCAGGAGCAGGCGAGGGAGGGACCGTGACGACCTTCCTGGGCCCACTGCGGGTGCAACGCCAGGGGGAGGAGGGTCAGGGGGGGGGATGCGTCGGCCCCTAATCTCGCACTGACCACCAATAGGGGCCCGCCCATCCCGCCCAGGAACGCACGCGGTTTTGCCGTCGGGGGGCCATCGCCGATCTCTAGGCGATGCACCGCGGATTCGAGGCCGATGTTCCACCCTCCTCGAGCTGGTCCTCCCCTGACACTCCCCCTCGGCGAGGGAGGGAACGTGACGACGTCCGCTTGTCCCCCCCAGGTGCGCGAGGATAATTACCCCACGCCGCACGCGTCGCCGGGGCCGCCGAGTTGGCATCTTCTCCAAAAGTGGCCCCGCGAGGCCGCGGACGCAGCAGTGGATCGCGGGGGCGCGGCGCGCGCAGCGAGGCGACCCGGGATTGTCCGCGCGAGTTGGCGAGGCATGCTCTGCGCAGTGGCCAGGAGCGAGGTAGGGATTGTGACGGGTTTCGCCTTTCTGGGGACGTCGCCGCCACGGCTGGACGCTCCCCGGCAAAGTGGCGCGCCCCAGACCAGGTGCGAAGACGCAGATTTGCTCGTCGCATTCCTTCTCCTGCACGAGTGGCGCTCGCGACCGCGCCCCCAAGCGATAGCGCCTGACCCCGGCGTCACTCCCCCTCCCCATCACCGCCCCGCGGTGGATTCGCGAGGCTGCGCTGCGCGAGACGTGGGGCGAGGAGGAGTTCGACCAGGCCCAGGGTGCTCCAGCAGCAGGAGCAGGGGAAGCACGGGGCGGAGGAGGAGAAGGAGGACGAGCAGGATGAGGGGGGAACGAGGATGAATTCTAGCAATGCTTGCCACCGCGACGCTTCCTTGCCTGCCAGAGTAGACCTGCCACGCTGTGCAGGCGGAGAGGCAGGGCCATCCCGCCTTGCACAGGACTTCCCCATACGGTCGGACCGAAGTATAAGATCGAGGTCGGCTCGGGGAGTGTACCCTAGTGCTCTTTGGCTTTTCGTGTTTGTCGCATGTTCTCGTTGATGGGTTTGTTTTCCACCACCACCACCACCACCATAAGTTGGAGGGGGAGGGGGTCCTCCTCCTGCTCCTCTTCTCCGTCCTCCTCATCCTCCTCCTCCTCCTCCTTCCCCCTCTAGCCCTGCTCCTCTTCTCCGTCCTCCTCATCATCCTCCACCTCCTTCCCCCTCTAGCTTCTGGTGGTGGAAAACAAGCCCATCACTCGTGCTAGCGTTCTTCGTGTCTGTCGCATCTTATCGTGCATTCCGGGGACGGGTGCCCTCGATGACCACATGGTCGGGGGGGGCGTTCCGGTCGGCGGGGAGCCCCGTGCTCTGGAGGGACGGCCTGCTGCCCTGGGCCCGGCCGTCTCCGCGCTGCTGCCGCCTGCGCTGCAGAGGCGGCACTGCGGGCAGAGGCGGGGGCGATGGGGCGGCCGAGCCGGCCCCCGGCAAGCAGCGCCCTCCCCCGGGGCGTGCCCCCTCGCCTCGCCCCAGGGCCTGGGCAGGCGGCCGGAGACGCTTGCGCCGGGAAGTCTTATGGCATGTGCGTCGTGGCGGGCGCTCTCTGGCCACGCCGCTCGGGCAACGATGCACCACGAGATGGGTATACTACATGTTCGGGTCGGACGCGCGCCTCCAAGGAGGACATGTACACGTGGTTCATTTTTAATTCGTCGAAAGTTCTTTGATTATTTGGGAGGGCAGGATCCTTTCATTTCTAATTGTTTCATCCTGAGCCTCTTCCTGGCCACTGGGGGGCCAGGAACAATTAGAAACGAGCACGATCAGAAATGAGCACGATCTGAAAGGAACGACGTGCAGTATCAGTATGCCTCTGTGCGTCCCATTGGCCTCCATCATGCCATCGTGCCCCGATGACGATTGATACGGGGCCCAAACATATACACCAGCACCACCTCCCCTCCCCCCTCCCTCTCCCAGGATCGAGGAGGGGAAGGGGAGGGCGGAGGAGGGAGGGGAGATGGAGGTGGTGGTGGTGTGTATATTCTTGGGACCCGCAATCGACGTGCCGCTGCGCCGTTTGTTCCGCCGCGCGGCCGCACGCGTTGTTCAGTAGGGGAAAAAACACACAGACACAATGAATCGTCGACTCCCCAAGAAAATATGGGAAAATATGGGCAATGGAGGGGGAGGACAGAAACCCAGAAAAGATGGAAAAATTGGGGGAATCCTTTTTTTTTGTGTGTACTTGCTTGTGTGCCCTCTTGGGCCCCTTGAACGTTGCGGCGCAGGCGCCTCGGCCACCGGGGCAGGCGCCGCCTCTCGGGCCTGCCGTGGGGTCTGCCCGCGGGCCGTGCCCGCGGGTGCCGGCCGGCCTCGCTCTGCCGGGGCGCGCGGGGCGCGGGGCCTCAGGCAGTGGTGAGGCGTCCTGGCGTGCCCAGAGGCCTACTGAACTCAGGAGGGGACAAAACACACAGACACAATTCACCGTCGATTCCCCAGAAAGTATAGGAAAATATGGGAAGTGGGGGGGAAGACGAGAACACCCACATATGGGAAAATATGAGGAATAAGCTTATTTGTGTGTGTGTGTGTGTGTGTATTTTTTTGTATGTCATCGGGCCCCTTTCATAAACAATGTTCTAAGAACCTCTTGTGGCGTTCACGAAGTGTTCTCAGAACGCTTCTGGCTGGGACGGTCCTGCTTTACCACATCTGGATTATTATGGTTTCAGAGCATCGTTGTCGTTCTTAGAATTTCTCTGGGTTCTGAAAGCATGTCGTGGTAGGCCCATAGGGATGCCGTGACGGTCGGTCTCTGCTCAACAGGGTCTGCCGTGGGTTCGCCGAGGTGTCGGCGTCGTCGTCCCCTTGGGCGCGTTGGGAACCAACGGCGCGGCGACATTGTGCGGAGTGAGTTCGACCCCGATTCCGGGGGTGGCTTCGCACGGCGGCCCAGAGGCGGACGGTCCACGCGTCGCTCCACCCACGAGCAGGCGTCCGCGGGTTCTGGCAGGGATGGCAGAGTACTTCTGGTGCCGAATGTTGCAGTCAAGCGCACGCGGGCAGAAGCTCGGGCGTGCCCAGCCAAAAAAAGAGAGTGGCTTCTCATGCCCTTGAGGAATTCGCGCCTGGAATGCTGAATGCAACGGCTTCCACACGCGGGGAGGGGGGGGCGAGCGCGTGGGGCCTCACGTGTTTTTGCTCGTCGATTCTTTTGCGGGTTGTTACACAGCGCGGTGGATAGATCAAACCGTGTGGACCTTATCGTTTCATTCGACAGGGCTGCTTATGATGTGGTCTGACTTGTAGGATAGGCGACCTGTTTTCGAACAACGGTTAGAAGCCAATACCCGGACCTCGTCATGGGTGTAAAGCCTAGGCCTAAATCTTTGTAGTTGGGCGGCACTCATCTAAAGAGCTGCGGACATCTCACCCACCTACCCGCCAGTGGTCGGCAATATTCACAGGGGCCATGAGCGCAGTTGGGGTCGGAACTTGTGGCGCGCCATCCGGTGTCATGCATACCCATGGCTCGGATTGTTGAGTGATGGTGGTGATGCCTGAGGGGTGGGGTGGGGTGATATGAATTCAACGTGTGCCGACGAGGGTCCCAAACAGTAAGTTGAGGCACTGTGGATGGGTGAGCTATGAATTTCAACCTAGGCGCGTAAGACACGTCGTGTAAGCTATGTTGTGCATTCTATATCGTGCAGTCGAATTATGCGGTGCGAGTTATGATGCAATGTATGTGATGTATGCTATGCCGTGAAGGTATTATATATATGTGGTGCGAGCTACGTTGTGCAAGCGATGTTGTGTAAGCCATGTGGTGATGCCACATGTTTCCCCCCGTTAGGCTGTGCCTGAAAAGGATTCGCATATCTATTCCCAAGTAGGATTTGCCGAAAGGGTTCTTGCTTGTTTGTGGCCACATCGCTTGCACCACGTAACTTGCACCACATAGCCATAACTTGCACCACATACCTTGCACCATGTATATTGCACGACGCAATTTACACCACATCGCATGCAGCACGTAGCTTGCAGCACAGCTTGTACCAAGTGTTTTGCACCACATAGCTTGCACAACATAGCTTGCATCATGGTGCTTACATTGCATAACTTTCACCAGCTAGCTTACACTTCCACCATGCAATAACTTACTATTTGGGGTCCACGCTGGCCAACACATCATACTGGTCTTGGGAAAGGGGAGGGGCGCAAAGGTGATCGCGCCTTGCGCGTGGCGGTCTATGCCAGAGGGTGGCCCTTCTCGAAGTGTGGGACGTGAGGGCGTGATGGGACGAAGAGAATCGCAAGTCGCGCATCGCGGGGTGCGATGCGCAAAGTTGGCTGATCCAGGAAGCGAGCCAGAGCAAGCCTGGAGAGCTCGAGGCCCGATGCCCTTCTCGAGGTCCGAGTGGAAGGCCAGGGGAGAAGACGCCGAAGTCGTGGACTGACCGCCCCCCCCGTCCGGCACCCAGGCGTGCCTGCGCGCGGCCACGTCGTCGATGAGGGCGGAGGTCTCTGGAGCGCTGGAGGGCATGTGGCGCCCCGCCGCTGGGAGGGGGGGGGGCGTCCATTGTCATCGTCCACCTCCTCCTCCTCCTGCTCCTCCTCCTCCTCTTTCTCCTCCTCCTCCTCCTCCTCTCTCTGTCTCCTCCTCCTCCTCCTCCTCCTCTCTCTGTCTCCTCCTCCTCTCTCTGTCTCCTCCTCCTCTCTCTGTCCTCCTCCTCCTCCTCCTCCTCCTCCTCCTCCTCCTCCTACTACTGCTCCTCCTACTGCTCCTCCTCCTCCTCCTCCTCCTCCTCCTCCTCCTCCTCCTCCTCCTCCTCCTCCCCCACCTCGTCCCCTTCCTTCTCCTCCTCATCCCTCTGTCTCTTCTTCCTCCTCGCCGATCCTCCTTCGTGGCTGGTCATCGTCGTCAAGGTTGTCTTCGGTGGTCCAGCGCCTCGCGCGGCGGCAGATGGCCTGCGAGCAGACCCGTGGCCGGTCTGTCGGCGGTCAGTCATCCCTCCGTCGCCGGTCGTCGTTCGGTCGTTGGTCGTCCGTCGGTCGGCGTCGCTGGTCGTCCGTCATGGGTCTGCCGTCCGCCGGCGTGGGGGCCGCATCCTGGCTGTCTGCCGCCCGCCGTGCAGACAGCGCGGCGCTCCTCTTTCCTGCCCGCAGCACCGAGGGGTCCAGTGCAGTCGAAGCGACGGCGGGCTACACCGTGGCGAGTTGCACCTGCCAGTAGGCTAAGGGGGAGATGCGTCCACCCCCACTCGCCCATTGATTGCTGGTAGGGGTCCGACAGCTCGCCGCGCCCAGGCACGTGTTGATTCGCTAGCCGCATGCCCGCGATAATAAAGCAGCCCCACCCCTCAAAACCCTTCATGATTATCCATGGGGCACTTATATTTGATAGGCGGGCGGAGCGGCGAGACCGAACTTTATGGCCACAAAGGAAAGCACGAACCGTACATTGAACCGTCTTATCATGATTATCTTAGGTTGTCATCGTCGACGATGGATCCATCGACGATTCTATCTGTCGACGTATCGCCGATTGGAAGTCCATGCCCGCCCCCCGTGAGGCAGTCGCCCCCGATCGCTCACCCTCGTGGAAGGAAGAGAAGAGGCCGCGGAGGGGGGAAGGCGAGGGGGAGGGCCCGCTCCAGCGGCGAACGGCAGTGCGACGCACGCGGGCGAGCTCGGTCGAGTCGGTCGGCCGAGTCTGCGCTTCCTGGGGCCCGCGGCCTGACAGACAGGGCCCGCCGCAGGGCTCTCCCTTCGGAGCATAAGCAACGGCGCGTCAGCAGCTTGCTCGAAGAAGAAAGCCAGCATACAAAAAGTGTTCGGCGCTCCGCGCAGACCTTCGAACGTGTGTGTTTACGGCGTGGTTTCTTCTGTTTTCGGAGGTCCTTGCGGAATTCTTGGCACGGCGCTGGACCCGCCTCTGGCGCGCTCCGCGCGCCAAGGAGCGGCGCCGAGTTACGACAATTTATTATGTTTGATGTCGCTGTTACGTCGCTAAGGAAGCTTATTATGCTTGAGTTTCTTAGTCTGCCCTTTCGTTGTCATCGTCCGCTTCTTCTGCGGGCACTATTGATATCCATATGCAGTGCGTCTTGGACTTTCTTGGAAGGAGTGCCGCAAGGCCGAGGCGCACTGGATATGGATAACAATTTAGCCTCGAAGGGAGCCCGAAACTCTAGCTGCAGTGGATATAGAAGCAAGTCTTGCCCGCATCTTCGCTCGCCGAAGCCAAGAACATCACCAAGGAGCGCGGGTACATCCTCGTAATGGTGCGGCGTCGCTGCGCGTCGACTTCCCACTCGAGCCCGCCCCCGGGCTCCGGGCTTCAACCCGAGGAGGCATTGTGGACTCTCTTGAACGCTGGAGGGCCTCGGCTTCAGCGTCGGCTGTACCGCCCCCCGGCCACGAGGACTGCAGCCAAAATGCAGGAACAAGGGGCAGCTCGGGCTTGTGAGGGGCTCGCTGCTCCCGAAGCCGCTCCTCCACGGCGCCACGTTTTCGGCGCTCGGGCCCCGCTTCCTCTGCGGCGTGCTCCCCGTGGACGCGGCCTGACGGCACCGCGCTCTGCGGTCCGGGCGGCGGTGTCCTCCCCCCGAGAGCGGCGGCGCGGGGGCGCCCAAGATGGTCGCGCGACACGCAGCGGGCCACCGGGGTGGACGATGGACTCGGCGGCCTCGTTAGAAGGAGGAGGAGGAGGGAGGATGAGGAGGAGGAGGAGGACGAGGAGGAGGAGGAGGGAATGGGAACGGGAATGCCATCGAGCAAGAGTCCAAGCACGGACCCCTGCTGCGTTGAAGAAAGAAAGGAGAGCTCGGCCGACCACTAGCTTAGCAGTCGGCTTGAGCCCCTGGGGCCCCTCACCCTCTCTTGGGGTACCGCCCTCGGCCCGCACGGGGCCCCTCCGTCATGCAGGCCTGGCGCATGGGCCTGGCCCAATTCCGCCGCGGCCGACTCTCCCCGCGCCGCCCGCAGCAGCCGCTGAACAATGCGGGCCCGCCGCTCCTCGTTGGACTCAGGAGGAGGAGGAGGCGGAGGAGGAGGAGGAGGAGGAAAGGGAGGAGGAGGAGGAGGAGGCGGAGGAGGAGGAGGAGGAGGGGGAGAAAGAGGAGGAGGATATTGCGGAGATTGCGATGATGCGCACTCAGGTGCGGTTCGTGCCAAGTCATAAAAAGTTCGGCATTGGCTATGGAGCGCTGGCGGCAGGAGCGGCTAGCGCAGCGGCGGCGACGGCTTCGTCCACGGCCATGCCGTGGAGTAAGGCCATCGCGCCCAGCGCGGGCACGGGTGAACAAGCCTTTTGTCGATCTTGGCAAGGTTCTCTTTGCCTTACGTGTAATGCCACTGCACGGGGCGGCAAGATGGCGAGGGTCTTCGGTCGCTGTCTTGCCGCACTCCCGACAGAAGTACAGGCAAAACTTCTGCATGAAGAGGAGTTGGTTGGTGTCATGCAGCGGGCGGCCACATACGATGGCCGTCCCCTGTACTGGGACGACCTAGTCGCTGGCGACAGGCAGTGGGGCGGCTGGCTGGCATGGTGTGGCGCAGGCTTGGCGTACGGTTCGCTTGTCGGCAGTGAGCCCGCAGGTCGAGCATCTGTACTTGCTCGCATAGAGCTCAAAGGAGTGGCGACTGGCCTGGAGGGCACGCTGTAGCTGGGTGAGCCGCGGGCCTTTGGCCTGCGAGGGTCGCTCCGCGACCCAGGGATCCACCGCAAGTGAGTCAGCGAGCGCGCGGCGCGCGCGGCGGCGGATCAGGGCGCACTGGGTGTCGTGCAGGTCTATCGGCGGGGCTGCGCCTCGGAGGGCAGCCTCCCCAGCACGCTGGGCGGCAACTCCAGCCCGGGCGCCAGCGCATGCATTGCCTAGCGTGTGGGCAAAACGGACAGGGTCGGTGGACTCGTTCTGGGCGTCCTCATTGTGAGAGGGGACCCTGACCACCGCGACAGAGCCAGGGCCGTGATTCCTAACGGCTGTGCCTATGCGCTGCCGTATGTCCAGGTTAGCACCGTGACGGTGCAGGTGGCGGTTCGACCTCCAACCGTCCAGGAGCGGCATGTTACTTGTAACATACATAGCGGAGGTCGCCAATGGAATGCTCGAGCGCAAAGGCTAGGAGCTCGGCACGCGGGACGGTTTGAAAGGGGCCCTCGAGGCCCGACAGGACGCCACCTCAGGGGACCCACTCCCCGTAGTGGCTCTTCATGGCGATCACGGCGGCCCCTACCCTGCGGCGGCGGGGATCGGCACTAAACTGCCCTCCCGATCCGCCGTCTCCATACAGGGTTAGGAGGCCGTCCGAGTCTTCGCACCCCTCCCACCCCCGCCCAATACAGCTCCGCCCACCGCCCCGACCCAGATCAACGAAGACAGGGTGCGCGTCCGCGCAGGCGGCTTGGCCACGGAGCCAGCATGCTGGGGCAGCCTCTGCGCCAACGAGGGCAACGGGAAGGAGTGCGTCAGATTTCTGGTCATCCTCGTGGTCGCGGTTGGAGGGGCAGAGCCAGATCCTGTGCATCAGGGTCTCGGATGGCGCACCACATCTCGGGCATGCCGCGTCAGCCTGGTAGCCCGCGTTGGTGAGCCTCTCCCTAGGCCGTTGCGCTCCCGCGACCACGCACATATTGGGGGCTCACTGGTTAAAATGGCCCTTGCGCATGAACCTGTTCATTCCGCTGGTGACGGCGTAAACGCCAGCTCCGCCTCGCTTGAGGCCTTCGCCATCGAGGTGCTTCGCGGCGTCTTTCCAATAGCCAGTCTCGATGGTCTGGCAGAGCTCCAGGGCCAGCTGCGACGGGTCGATCTCTTCGCGGCGCTGCTCCCAGCCGCCGCAGTTCTTGCGGTGCAGGAGCCGCGTCTGCTCTGCCAGCCCAGCTTCGCGAGGCTGGCGGGACCATTCGCAGGACGTCGGGCAGTCCCACCCTGCGTCCACGAGGATGGCATGGACGGCAGAGATGGGGCCGACCATTTTGCGCCAGCGCTTGTTGCCGGAGCCGGTGGTTTTTGCGAAGATGAGCCGCCAGGCGTGGGCGATGCGCTCGCGGTGGTTCGGGTTGGCGAACCGGGCGAAGAGCCACTCCAGGGCGGTTTGCTTGCGGAGCTCGATGCCAGGGCCCTTGTGGCCGAGGAGCATGGCGAGCGCGGTGGCGAGGCATCTGCCGGGAACCTTGCCCGCAATCGCCTGGGTGGCTTGGAGCCGCTGCTGGGTGATGGCGCTCGGGGAGGGGCCCATGACCTGGTGGCCGTAGGTCCCCTGCAGTCTAGAACCTGAAGTCCAGTGGCCCGTCGCGATCTTGGCGAGCGAGGCGCGCCTGCGGATCTCGGCCATGATGCGGCCTGTCCTCCGCTTCGCCTTCAGCGCCCTCTCGGTGGCCTTCGTTGCCGCCCTCCTGCGCGCCCCGACGGTGTCGACGCCTAAGTCGACGGAGGCGTTGGCGACCTTGATGGGGCACCCCTCGCGCTCGAGGGCGACGTGGGCGTCGTGTGCGACCGCTGGGCTGGAGGCGATGACGGCGTTATTCGGCGACACCATGAGCTCCGCCTCCGTCGCGCCATTAAAGAGGATGGCGCCTGCGACGGCTAACTCCATGGCGAACTGCTTGGGCCCCCCTTCGGCCCTGGCGACCGCGTCGTCGACGAAGGCCCAGAGTCCTGCGTAGGTGCAGTTATGGTGGGCCCTCGCCGCGACGGGGCCGATGCAGGCATTGGCTAGCTCCCCGCCGCGGGCGCTGCCTGCGACGATGAAGCGCCGCGGGTCGACGACGTCGCTGACCCAGCCGCGCGCGCGCAGGCACCTGGGCGCTAGGAAGAGCTGCGCCTCCAAGGCCACCACGGCAGGAGGGAAGTTGACTTGGCTTGCCGCGTCGAGCAGCTTCGCGAAGTCGACCGAATCGTACAACTTCTCGACGTCAATGAGGAGGGCGGCGTAGGAGAAGCCAAGGGCCGCCGCCGTCTCGTCGAGGAGGGCTCTCGCGAGGGCTGGCCGTGGGGCGCCGGAGCCCTGGGCCGCCGTGCCCCAGAGCTCGCCGAGCTGACTGGACCACTGGTCGATGATAGTAGCGCGGTGCTTGCTCCAGGTCTCGGCGACGGCGGGGGGCGCGCCGAGGACGCGCCCCCCCCCCGCTGGCTTGGGGGCCATAGCTCCCACAGCGGCGCAGAGCTGCTGCGGCCACAGCCCGCTGGACTCCACGGAGTTGTAGATCGCAGCAATCTGCTCGATGCCCTTGGGCGGTGGGCGCTGAATGTCCAGGGGCCCGACGTTGTCGACCCCGCGCGCCTTTTTGGGGTCGGCGACGCTGACCATGGCGTAGATGCGCTGCGGCTCTACGACTGGGAGGGGCCCACCCGTGAAAAAAAAGAGAACGCCCTAGGGATCCGTTCCCGTTCCCGCTCCCGCTCCCGTTGTCGTTGTCGTCGTCGTCGTCGTCGTCGTCGTCGTCGTCGTCCCGTCGTGGTCGTCGTGGTCGTGGTCTCCGTCCACCCTGAAGGGGGGTCAAGAGGGAGGCTCCAGAAAGGCTGCGGACGCTTGGAGGCTTGTTGGGCTCTCCTGAGAGGCCTTTCGGGGGCCTCTTGGAAGCATGTTGCAGGTCTCTTGGGGCCCGTAGGGGTCTTCTTGAGGACGTCAGGGCGGGGGACTTGGGGCTCTCCTGGGAGTTCGTTGGCGGTCTCGGAAGGTCTCTGTCAGACGCCTACGGCGAATCACCGCCGCCCCTTGCCTTTTGGAAACGCCGACGCGGCCAAGCGTTACGGCGAAGTTTGGCCCAGGTGTTGGACCAGGTGTTCCCCCAGCCGACGTTGAAACCCTTGGGGAAAACACTTGGGTGAGGAAGATGGGGGAGGAGCAGGATAGAGGGGGATGATGGCGATGATAACGAAGAGGCACATGAGATGATAAGGACGGGGGGAGGAGGCCTCTTGGAGGCATTTTGGGGCTTCCTGCGGACTTTTGGAGGCCACTTGGGGCCATCTGGATTCCTTTTCGGGCAATCTTGGCCGTCTTGGAGGGCATCTTCGGTCGCTTCGGGGGCCATGCAAGGCCGTCCTGGCAGTATTCGACGGCATGCTGGCCGTCCTGGAGGCCACTCTGGACCATCTCAGCACGCTTAAATGCAATCTCTTACATGTCTTAGGCCATCTTGGAGGCAATCTTATCCGTCCAGGAGGCCATCTTGGCCGTCGTGGAGGCCATCCACAGCGTAGCCCACCCAGCCATGGTTCTGTTAATGCACTCGTGCATATCCAGCTGCCTGCGGCAATTCCCGCCACCGTGGTGATGATGATGATGCTGATGATGATGATGCTGATGATGCTGATAATGAGGATGATGAGGATGATGACGCTGATGACGACGATGATTATGATGACGACGATGATGACGATGATGATGATGAGGCTCATGACGATGACTATGGCGATAACGATGACGAGGCTGATGATGTTGATGATGAGTAGTGGTAGTCGTAGTAGTAGTAGTAGCAGTAGTAGTAGTAGTAGTAGTAGTAGTAGTAGTAGTA